TGAGGAGAGGCTGAGGGAGCTGGGGAGATGCTGAAGAAGACTAACGCATGGCCCAGAGCAGGGAGGGGATAGAAAAAGCCACGGAGCTATCAGTGGAATTTTCTGAGCCAGAGGGAGGTGTGTAAAGAGAAGGACACCAGACGGCATCCGCAGGAAGGCAAAGATGTCCGACGAGCAGCACGAATGCCTGAGGAGGAACGGTGAACGAGCTCTTACTCGTTTCTTTCAAGCGCGTTTTCCAGCTCTTTGGTGAAAAGGCTCTTCTCCCCGATCTACACAGAAGCGGAGGGACACGAGTCACCACAGCAGCACGTGACAATGCAGCACCCGATACAACTCCTTCTCGCGGAGAGGAAGCAGAGATCCTTTACCTTCGAAAGCGCTGTATCCAAGATCTTGTCTCCAGTCGTTGCCATGGCAACTGCTCAGAGAGAGAGCACAGGTACACCGTGAGGCTTGGTCAGCGCACCTGGGCCCCCACTGTCCCTGCGGAACGCCCGGAGCCTCGGGAAAACACCTCCCAAACGCGCAGCGAGGCGCGGCCAGAGCAAACCCAGGCTCTCGCAGAGCGAGGCGCCACCGTCTGCACGGCAGAGCTGCACCCCTCGGGGTCGCAAGATCCATCCTTCTCCCCTCGCGGCAGCAGCTGCTCACACTGGGCCGAATTCGGACGGCGCTCTCGGCTAAGCGGGCTGGACCCCTCCTCCCCATGACGCACTCGGCATGCCCCCAGAGAAGCGGCTGGCCCCTGGTCCACCTCCGGGCAGCACCCAAAAGGACTTACCAATCTCAAAGCGCAGGTCGGGGTACAGCTCCCGGAGCGTCGCGACTACGCTGTCCGTCTGAATCCGGGCCAGCTGCAACGAGGCGGAAAGCAAAGCCCTGAACAAAGAACGCGCCATCCGCACGGTAGCTGGAGAGGCCTTTGCCATTCTTCGACGGCCAAGCACGCATGACTGCTGTACCAGGTGCAATCACTCCTACGTACAAGATCCTCCAACCGGGCGAGCAGGGCGTTGCGCTGCAGCACGCCCTTCACCGAGCGGCAGGGTAACGTCTCCCCGTGCCCAGGCACCGAGAGGGCGAAGCCCTCGGACGCGACTGCCGGGAGACGCCTGCTCGCGGGCAGGAGGGCAAGCAAAGCCACCCTCCCGTGGCTCAGCGACGAGGCACAGGTCGTATCACACACTGGGCACCCTCGGCTTTTCCCAAGAGCGCAAATCCTACCGACACCATGAGTCTGGGGAGCGGCCAACAGCGCCCGACTGCGCTGCT